ACGGCGCAGTCCTGGCGTTCGGGTTTCCAGATTTGGAGGCCGTCGAGGCGCTTGGCCAGCGTGCAGCCCCTCTCGACTCGACCTCCGTTGTCGATCCTGTCAGGTGCGCTCGGCTCGCTTGTTCAGAATGCCGCGGTAGGTGGAACCTACCTCCAGCCGGGATCTCAGTGCTGCGCCAGATCGGAATGACGAGTGATCACATCGTTCTTTTTTGTCGTGACGATGTGCAAGATGGTCTATTGGACATCAAACGCCCCCGAACAAAAAACATGTTTGGAGCATCCCCGACCACCATCTTAGCTTCGCTCTGGACAGGTAGAATGCGACCGTGTTTTTCGATCGCTGTGTGGAAGCGCAAGGCTTGGTCCGCCATCATGCTGAGAGCCGCGATCGACTGGGGGCGAGTCGCCGACGGTGGACACCGTTCGCCAGGCCAGAGTCTGAGTCCCGCAGTTCGCTATAGGGAACATCTGCCACGTCATGCTTAAGAACCAGATCATGCTTTTCATCGATTAGTACTCCAGGAGACATGGCATGTAGGATCAGGTGATGGGCTTCGGGAATCGAGGGCAGACTCAGGAGGTGTATTTCTTGGTAAGTGTCTGGATATCGGGAGGGGCGGGCGCGATCGCGCCGCCGTGGCTGGATGGGGGTATCCAATCGCACGACGACTCGATCAGTGACTCCCTGCCTGGCGAGAGGCTGGCTCGGTAGGGATGTGCTAGCGGGCCTCGTCGCAGCACTAATCTCGCCCCGCCGGGGGCAATTTGTAGAAAGATCCGTCGCGGGTGAGATGGCGATCCATGTGTCTCGCTCCCGTGGTTTGCACGCTGGTGCCTCGTCAGCCGGACTATGTGTTCGAGTGGGTGTGGATGACGGGCTCAGGGATGCGCGGGATATCTGAGGGGATAGGGAAATGGGGTTTCAGCTCGCGTCCGCCCGCATCAGTTTTGTCTCACGGTCAAATAACACACATTCGTGTTCGCCAGCACGGGGGAAGCAGCAAACGTTGTGAACGAGCTTCGGGTGCAACGTCAGCTTCGCATTCGACCATCGTCGAGGTTCGTGCCGTGTACCCCGACAGCGAGTTTCGGGGCGCCTTCGGTCGGGCGTGGGCCAACACATCTTCCGCGATGGTGCTGGGCCCGACGATGTCCGTGATTGGCGCGCACAGCGACGATTTGAACCGAACCTGGGAGAGCATGCGAAAAGGCGCTCTGGAAAAACATCCGCTTTCTCTCCAACCCGATCATCCCGAGAAACAGAGTTATTGTAAACTTCGGCGCGATCGCCGTTGGCATCACTCGATCGCGCTCGGCTGCATGGGCACCGAATCGGGCTGCAGTGCGCTTCCTGGGGCTTCAGAAGTCCCACCCAGGAGGAAACCGGGGCCTTCTGCACCAGGCGCGCGCAGGATCAGGGGGCTTTGCCGGTTCAATGGGCCCGCGTTTACCTCCAGTTTGTCCTCTCCTGGGTATCCCACCTCCAGAGACACCAGGACTCGTTGATTTATCCGTGTTTTTTGAGCAAGGCGCTTGCTGGATATCGAGGCAGCGTCGCCAGTGCCTTTCCCCGAACAGCTGTAGCAGGAAGATTTTCACTCGTAGTGCCAGGGGCATAATTATTCGCTGGGACACTGGGTGGGCGAAGATGTTCGACCCAGGAGGTTCCAGATATCGCTAGCTCTTGCATTTCCACTCCCTCCGCCTCCTGTCTCACTTCGGTGGCAAAGATAGGTGCCAGCGTGCTGAGCTTTCAGTTTCATCAGCCTGGTCAGGGATCCGCTTTGGGGAGTGCCTCATCCACTCACTCATTCACTCACTCACTTACTCACTCACTCACTCACTCACTCACTCCCTCCTCCTCCTCCTGCTCCTCCTCCTCCTCCTCCTCCCTCCTCCTTGTCCAGCTTGGCACGAAAGGCGCTGAGAACGAGGCTGGCGATCACGAGGCCCGGGAGGCTGTCCGGCATTCATGGACGACCAATCAGATTTGCCATCGATGCACCATGTGTTGAGTCTGACTTGGAAGGTTATAGCGGGGCCGTCTCCATGTTTTCACAGGTGCTGGGCAGAGGAGATCGTTTTCCCGTTCAGTTTGCAGAAGGGTGCTTTTATGGCATCTCTGTTTCGAGATCCGCTGTTGCAAGAGCGCATCGAGTGTGGTATTGATTCTGGCATCGCGATTCGGCCAGAGGAAGGCATCAGAGATGACGAGGCTCGCGGAGATGCGCAGCCCGCCTAACATGTACCCCTTCATACGGAGGTTTGGAACAACCACATAGCCGCGGACGGCTGACTTGATATAGGTACTCCGGATTCCATAATAAAGTAGGGGGGCTTACATTTTGCGGGGGGGTCTGATTTGAGCTGTTTTGAAGGGTTAGGGGGGGTCTGGGCAAAGTGCCGCCCTTTCATGGATGGTCTGGGGGGGTCTAAAACTTGTGGTCTGGGAGGGTTGTGACCCCCTCCCTTTTATTACGAAATCTGGAGTAAGCATCAGAAACACCAGCTCCACGACTGGGCTCTTGAGCACCCTGCTCGAAAGATGGAACTCCTGAGGGCGTCGATGCGCGTTGGCATGTGCCAATCGAGCACGGCGCCCGCGGAGGGTGACGCATCCGCACCGAACGATATTCCACATTGCAGAGCGGAGAACTTGGGATTCGCCAGACACTTGTGGAGCGAATCGCCGAGTTCCTATCCCATCGCGAGGTACGGTCATCCCCCTCTGATCTTCCTCCCCTCCCTTTGTTCTTGCTGCTCCGCCGACTCCCGGTGCTGCGCTTTGACATGTGTTGTGGTTGTGCCAGTGCTGTGCAGAGTTCCGCATTCTACGTCTGTGCAGACATACTGGGATCGCCGTGGCAGGCCCGACTCCGAAAGGAAGGAGGCTGAACCCCGCGCGAGCCCAATTGTCAGAACGCTTCCTCAGTGGCATTATTTGGTATCGCTTGCCATTGCTTGGCAATTTCGTTGCTTTGCTTAGGATCGCATCGCTTTAATTGTTTTGCATTGCTTTGCGTTGCTTGGCGTTGCTTGGCATTGCTTTGCATTGCTTGGCGAAGCTTGGCGTTGCTTGGCGTTTCTTGGCGTTGCTTTGCATTGTTTGGCATTGACTGGCAGTGCTTGGTGTTGCTTGGCGTTACTTGGCGTTGCTTGCATGCATTGCTTTGCTTAGCATTGCTTGGCGTTGCTTGGCGTTGGTTGGCGTTACTTGGCGTTGCTTGGTGTGTCTTGGCGTTGCTTGGCATGACTTGACGATTCTCGGCGTTGATTGGTGTTGCTTGGCGTTGTTTGGCATTGCTTGGGGTTGTTTGGTATCTCTTGGCGTTGCTCGGCATAGCATTGCTTGGTATCGCTTTGCGTTGCTTGGCGTTGCTTGGCGTTTCTTGGCGTTGCTTGGCATTGTTTGGCATTGCTTGGCATCGCTTGGCGTTGCTTGGCGTTGCTAGCATTGCAATGCTTTGCTCGCCATTGCTTGGCGTTGCTTGGCGTTGCTTGGCGTTGGTTGTCATTGCTCGACGTTGCCTCGCGTTGGTTTTCATTGCTTGGCGTTGCTTGGCATTACTTGCCATTTCTCGGCATTGATTGGCGTTGCTTGGCGTCGCTTGGCAATGCTTGGGGTTGTTTGGCATCGCTTGGCGTTGCCTGGCATGGCATGGCTTGGCATTGTTTGGTGTTGCTTGGCGTTACTTGGCATTGTTTCGCATTGCTTCGCATAGCTCTGTGTTGCTTGGCATTGCTTGGCGTTGCTCTGCCTTGCTTTGCATTGCTTGGCATTTTTTTCTTGGCATTGCTCTGTCTTGCATTGCCTTGCTTCGCATTGCATGCTTGCCAACCAGACGACCGTGCAACCCCGGCATGCGGGCATCCAGGCAGTTGGGCAACCCTGGCAACCCGGGCAACGGGGCAACCGGGCAACCAGGCATTGGGCAATTGGGCAATTGGGCAACCTGGGCAACCAGACAGCCGGGCAAATGGGCAATTGGGCAACCGGGCAAGCCGAGCAACCCTGGGCAACCCCGAGGAATGCCGGCTGGCCAGGTCTGGCACCGACCGATTTTCTTCTCAAGTATGAGGGAAGCCTTTCGGTAAAGCCTCATCGGGGAAGAAGACGAGGAGATGGAGATGCAGACGGTAAGATGTCATAGTCCCGCCCGCGATCCTGACCCCCAGGTGTCCTGGGACATCCCCAGAGGTCCCCACAGGCCCCGAAGGCCCAAGAAATGGCCAGACATATCCAGAATGTTTGGTCCTCGATCCTCGATCGTCATGGGCAAGCCGAAGGAGTCGATGTTCGATCGAGATTCCTTGCTATCAAGGCGAGAGTCGTTCGACGCTCGGTGCTCAATCCTCGGCGATCCTTGAGTCCTCGGTTCTGTATCCTCGGTTCTCGACCATCGATCCTCGACCGTCGATCCTCAAACCGATCCTCAAGTCGATCTCTGCGGGCTCGCTCTGAGCAAAGATCTGCCGCTTTTCATTCCAGTGACTGTCAACCTCACGCATGGGCAAAGTGCACGTGGCTGGATGGGCAAGTAGGCTCGGCCTGCAGGCGCTGGCGCAGCCACGCCTCCGTCCGCCGTCCTGCGTCCAAGTTCCAAGGGAGGCTGATCGTTTCTCTCTGCTCTCACCTTGGCAGCGCTCGTCACTGCGTTGCGTGGCTACGGAGGCTGACGGCCATCCGCCAGGCCCAGCCAAACCTTCACGAGCCGGCATCCAAGGTTGCCAGCCGGGGTATTGACGTGGTGCCGTCTACTTGACGTCTAATTGACGCGTGTGGCAAGCGTGGTGACGGACTTTTTCCGCAAGAGGAGGGGGGAGGGTGAACCAGGGGGGAAGAGGATGAGGAGAGAAGAGGACTACGGAGGAGGAAACACATCATGTATGTCCAGTCTATCATCCAACCGTGGCACTTGCACTGCCTGCTTTCCAGCGCCGTCGACTCATTCGGCCAGTCTCCCGACCCATGTGTCTGTCTCTCCGGCCGTGCCAGAGGAGCTTTTTGGTTGCTCATCGAAGCGTGCCGCTGCGGGGGCCAGCGCTGCTGGCAGCTGGAGCAAGGAGCGCTCTGCGGGATCGCGAACGGGGGTCTCGGCAGAGGCTCTTTGGGATTCGCACTTGGAGCGACACGCAGCGAGAGCGATCGGAGAAGGCGAGGAGGGCGTGACGTATCAGCCAGGGCACACAGGCTGTGCGCTACGGGTCAGGACGGATAATGGAGGAGGGAGATGGTAACAGTGGCATGGAGGAGCAACACATGTGATGATGATGATGATGATGATGATGATGATGATGATGATGATGATGATGATGATGATGATGATGATGATGCTGATGCTGATGCTGATGCTGATGCTGATGCTGATGCTGATGCTGATGATGATGATGATGATGATGGTGATGGATGGTGGTGGTGGTGGTGGGATGGTGGTGGTGTGGTGGTGGTGATGATGCTGATGCTGATGATGCTGATGATGATGCTGATGATGATGCTGATGATGATGATGATGATGATGATGATGATGATGATGATGATGATGATGATGATGATGGTGAGGATGATCATGGTGATGATGATGAGGAGGAGGAGGAGGACGACGAGGACGAGGAGGATGAGGAGGAGGAGGAGGAGGAGGAGGAGGAGGAGGAGGAGGAAGGGGGAGGAATGTAAAGGCCCCTCAGCTTTGCTCGTGGGGGGTGGGGCAGTGAGCGTCGTGGCCCGTGCGGGCCACAAGCGGGCCCCGGGTTGGACGTCGGAGGAGTTGTCGCGCCCCTTCCTCCTTGGGATGAAAGCACGACGATGTAGTCCGGTCAATTCTCATGGTGACGTTAGTCTTGGCGGGGGCTCGCCTGAGCCAAAGTGACCACCGTTGACGTTGAAGGCAACAGGATGTGGGAGCACTGTTCGGGCGCCCTTGCAGGACATGAAACGTGTGGGTCTTCAGAAGGCGAATTCTGCTCATGGTCTTCGGCGAAGCGAATGCGGTTCCCTTGGATTGCGTCGAGGGGCGCTTTTGGGCAGACCCCCGGGCCTCCTCGGGGCCAAGGCGGCCCCGCGAGGCGACTGCCTGCTGGAGGAGGCGACGCCGGGAGCCGTGGGATTGAGTCGGGCGTGTCCCTCCACAGGGGGAAGATTCAACAGCAGTCCCAAAAATAGTCCGGGGACGATTTTTCTATGGTTTTCTGACTATTTTTGAGTATACTTTCTGAATGTTCTTAATCTTATCAGCCTGGAACATATCCCTATCCCTATGCTGGGCATCTCATAACGATGCCACTCTTAGGGATTCCCTTATTTTTTGAGGGCGCATCACTAAGATTGTCATCGCTTTTTGGCGTGTCAATCTTAGGGATAGGGATAAGTTCGAGGCTGGTAATAATTTTCCGTCCAAAGCCGGCTGTAGGGGGACATGCCCGAGCTGACCGTGGGAGCCGCACGCGCACCGGCCAGCGGGTCTGCGCAGGGCTCCCCGCCGCAAGAGGCTCCACTCCCGAGGCCCACGGCGCGGGAGGCGAGCTGGCCTCGGCCCTTCGCGTGCGCGCAGGAGCGGCCCTCCGCCAGAGTGGCCCTTTTGGTGCGGGAACGCGGGCGTCGGAGGCGACGATCGGGGGCCACGAGAGGGGGGGGGGGGGATGGGCATAGTGTGCCGTTTTTCATGCATGCTCCGCGTGTGGATCATGGATAACACATGCAGGGATTCAGTATTAAAAACAACGATGAGTTCATGCATAAATTTGTTCATAAATTAATCATCTATAACATTTTTTTTTTTTTTTTTTTTTTGTTTCTCTCAAAAATCCCATGAATTAGAAACTGCCCTGTAGGGGGGGGTGCATCGGCCCCCCGTCGCCCATGGATCGCCGACAGGGGCCCGATGGCCCCACGCCGCCCAGGGAGCTGCGGATTCACGATCGGGGGCCCGTCGCCGATCTGTCGGCGATCTATCGCTATACGCACTCCTTGGCATCGCTCGGACGTGTGCATTTTTTCTCTTTCGGCGAGGACCATCGAGGAGCATCCTTGATCATTTGGCGAAACAACCACGCACGGAACCGAAAAAACACAGGGAATGGACGTCCGAGCGATGGCCAGACGCGCATGAGTGACCCTTCGCCGGAGTGGCCTTTGGTGCGGGCACTCGGTATCGTTTAATCGATCCCCATCCCCATCGTCATCCCCTTCGGGACCCCCACCGAATTACCACCCCAGTTGGGGATACACCCCTCGAAACCCGAAGGGAGCGGCTTATATCCCCATCTGGGGGGGGTAAATCGGCCAGTGGGGCCCAGGCCACGCCGCTGGGGCTGGGGGTCGGACGAACGATGCTCAGGCACACAGGCGTCGGAGGCGACGATGGGGACGAATAGCCCAGGGGCGGACACTGCTCGCCAGGGAGCCTCGCCGAAGGCATGGGCCATCGGCGCCCATGCATGTGCTGCTCTCCCCCGGGCTGTTCGCCCCCATCCAGGCCTCGGAAAAAAATAGCGAACACTCATGCCACATTTATCTGTGAACGCCTCCCCCTCCCCCCAATGTTCAAAGTTGGCGGTGGGTCTGATGAGTTGCACCTCGCCCGCAGTCTCCCCCGCGCGTGCCAACCTTGAGTTTGGGGGGCAGGGGGGGTGTTCACTAATTGTTTCCCTCTACCGTCGTCGCCCCCGAAGGGGTCCCGCCAGCACCGCTCGGCGCGCTTGGATTGGTTGGACCTGGCCCTTTTAGCGGACCCCTGAAACCGCGCACTAAAGGTCACTTTTGCCCAGGGGTCACTCTTGCGTGCAGCCGATGGCAGGGCACGAAAGTCACCTCGAGCGCGCCAGCACCCCCTGCCAGCGTTCACCCCCTGGGCATTCGAGGCCTGCACACGGAGGAGCAGCAGGACGAGCTGAGGAACAAATAGCGGCGTACACATGAACTTTTGGAGGTCCGCGCGGATTTCTCAGATCGGCGCTGGACCCCCTTTCCTGGCGCGCGGAGCGCGCCAGGGGCGGCGCCGGAGGCGCCGCCAGGGGGCTCCAGCGGCGACCTGAGACACCCGCGCGGATCTCCGAGAGCTTACGTTTATGCCATTAGTGGTTACCCTGACGAGGGGAGGAGGGGGAGGAGGGGGAGGAGGAGGAGGAGGAGGAGGAGGAGGAGGAGGAGGAGGATGAGGCAGGAGCAGGAACAGGAGCAGGAGCAGGAGGAGGGATCGCGGGGGCCTGGGGGTAGGAGCCCCTCCCTCCTCCGCAGCAGCTTTTGGTTCAAGGGCCACAGCTGTGCACGGATCCCTCAGGCTGGCCACCGGCCGCCTCGGCCGCCGCCCCACCGACCCGCAGAAAAATGGTCCGCGTCAAGGCCTACGAGCTCCGCTCGAAAACCTCCAAGGAGCTGCTGAAGGAGCTCGACGAGATGAAGTCCGAGCTCTCGCAGCTGCGCGTCGCCAAGGTGGCCGGCGGTGCCGCCTCGAAGCTGGCGAAGATCAAGATCGTGAGGAAGTCCATCGCCCGCATCCTGACGGTCTACAACCAGAAGCAGAAGGCGGAGGCGAGGAAGGAGTGCAAGGGTAAGAAGTACATCCCGCTGGACCTGCGCCCGAAGAAGACCCGCGCCCTCCGCCGGGCTTTGAAGGTGGAGCAGAAGACAGCCAAGACAGCCAAGGAGAAGACCCGCAGCAGCAACTTCCCCATGCGGCGTTTCGTGGTCACAATGTGATCCGCTGACAGGCGGCTAGAGTTTCGTTTCCACTGCGGCAGCGTCGGTAAAACACTGACTTGCTCTTGTCGTCGTCGTCGTCGTCGTCGTCTATTCTTGTTCCCGCTTCAGCTGCTCCTCCTCCTCCCCGTCCTCCCCGTCCTCCCCGTTCCCCTCCTCTCCTCTCCTCTGCTCTCCTCTCCTGTCCTGTCCTCTCCTTTCCTCTCCTCTCCTCTCCTCTCCTCTCCTCTCCTCTCCTCTCCTCTCCTCTCCTCTCCTCTCCTCTCCTCTCCTCTCCTCTCCTGTCCTCTCGCCTCGCCTCGCCTCTCCTCTCCTCTCCTTGCTCTCTCCTCTCCTCTCTCTCTCTCTCTCCTCTCCTCTCCTCCTCCTCTCCTCTCCTCTCCTCTCCTCTCTCTCTCCTCTCCTCTCTCCTCTCTCTCCTCTCTCCTCTCTCCTCTCTCCTCTCTCCTCTCTCCTCTCTCCTCTCTCCTCTCTCTCTCTCCTCTCTCTCTCCTCTCTCCTCTCTCCTCTCCTCTCCTCTCTCCTCTCTCTCCTCTCTCCTCTCTCCTCTCTCCTCTCTCCTCTCTCCTCTCTCCTCTCTCCTCTCTCCTCTCTCCTCTCTCCTCTCTCCTCTCTCCTCTCCTCTCCTCTCCTCTCCCCCAGGCGGAGCCCTGGGTGCATCGGGTTCGGGATCGTTCCCCAGACGCCCAGCCCAGCAGCAAGCGTTTTTCTTGCCCATTGTTTCCGCCGTGGGCAGCCAGAGGAAACGTGCATCGCCCTTGAGTCTTGTAGCGATTTGGGGGCAGGAAGATCTCCAGGGCAAGTCTGGGTTGGTCTCTTAGCCTCTCGTCTTCCCCCCACCCTTCCCCCTCCTCCTGGGGGGGGCGAGCGGGGAGTGGGGGGGGGCGAGGGTGAGGCGGAGGAGGAGAGGGGGAGGGTGGAGAAGGAGTGGGGGAATGGGTGTCCCCCCTCTTCTCCCCTCTCCGCGCCCGTCCACCACCTCCTCTTCCTCCGCCACAAAAATATACACACTATGAGCTCTACTTTTTCCCTCTCCCCCGAAGACGTCGTGAAAGTGGCGCCTCCCCTCCGCATACTGCGTTTGACACATGATGGGCCCGACTTGTTTTCCCCATCTCCAGAGATGGGCTTCTTGGTGTTACTTTGATGCCTCCGGACCTCCTCTCCTCCACTTCCTCTCCTCTCTCTTCCTCTTCCCCACTTAGCTTCAATCCCGCTCAGACTCACTCACACTCACGCTCATCATCACTCACATTCAGACTCACGCACAGTGCCTCTCCTTGTGGTTCTGACTCCTGTTTGAGTCATCAACGCTCAAATAGCACACTTATACTCATAGTCATAGTCATACTTATACTCGTACTCATAATCATATTCTTATGTATACCCATATTTATACTCATATTCATTTGGATTCGCATAATCGTACTCGTACTCATACTCCTACTGATCGTCATCTTCATATTCATACTCGTACTCATACTCATACTTGTGTTCATACTCGTTCTCATGCTCGTACTCCTCCTCATTCATACTCAGATTCGTATTCATTTTTATACCCATATTTATATTCATATTCATTTTGATACGCATACTCGTACTCATACTCATACTCTTACTCATCCTCATTTTCATACTCACACTCATACTCATACTCATACGTGTTTTCATACTCATTCTCATGCTCGTACTCCTCCTCATACTCATATTTAGCTTCGTCCTCATACTCATACTCATGCTCATAGGCGCACTCACATTCGTACTCATACTCGTACTCGTACTGATACTCAGAAAGAGCGCCAGTGGATCACCTCGTAATTGAATAGGGGGGGGGGTCCCAGAACCCTCCCCCCCTCCCCCCCTTCAGGGGGGGGGAACATTTTCGGACCCCCCCCCTTGGCGCTGGAGACAGGGAGGGGGGCGATTTCGGACCCCCCCCTCCCCCCTTTGGCCACGCAAGGGGGGGGGGAGGGTTTCGGGGTTTGGATTAGAGCTTAGGGTAAACGGGTTAGGGATTAGGGTCAGGGTTAGGGGTTAGGGTAGGGTTTAGGGGTTAGGGTTAGTTCTTAGGGATAGGGTCAGGGATTCGGGTTTGGGTTAAGGGCTAGGGTTAGGCGTAAAGGGGTGGGGTTCGGGCTTAGGGTAGGGGTTAGGGTTAGGGTGAGGGTATTCGGGGTTAGGGGGTAGGGTTGAGGTAAGGGTTAGGGTCAGGGTAGGGCTTAGGGTTAGGGGTTAAGGGTTAGGGTTAAGGTTTAGGGTCGGGGTACGTGTTAGGGTTAATGGTTAGGGTAGGGGTTAAATGCTAGGGTTCGGGTTCGGGTTAGGGTAGGAGTTGGGGTTGGGATTAGGGGTCAGGGTTAGGGTTTAGGGTCGGGGAAGGGTTAGAATAAGGGTTGGGGTTCGGGGTTATGGGGTGAGGGTTTTGGTTTGAGGTTAGGTCAGGATTAGGGTTAGGGCATAGGGTTAGGATTAGCGGTTAAGTCTGGTTTAGGGTTTAGGGTATGGGTTAAGGTTAGGGGTTAGGGTGGGGGTCAGGGTAGATGTCAGGGTTAGGGTAGGGGTTAGGGTAGTGTTTAGGGGTTAGGGTTAGAGCTCAGGATTAATATTAACTATTAGGGTTGCGGTTAGGGGCTAGGATAGAATTTAGGGGTTAGGGCCAGGGCATAGGGTTGGGGTTAGGGATTAGGGTCTGGGTTCGGGGTGGGGCTAGGGGTTAGGGGTCAGGTTAGGGTTAGGGTGTAGGGCAGGGGTTAGGGTAAAGGTTAGGCGTTAGGGTAGGGGTTAGGGAAGGGCTGGGGGTTAGGGTTAGGGTTTCGGGGTTTAGATTTGAGCTTAGGGAAGGGTTATGGGTTAGGGTCAGTGTTAGGGATTAGGGTAGGGTTTAGAGGTTAAGGTTAGTTCTCAGGGCCAGGGTCAGGGATTCGGGTTAGGGTTAGGGGCTAGGGTTAGGCGTAAGGGGTAAGGTTCGGGTTTAGGGTAGGGGTTATGGTTAGGGTGAGGGTATTCGGGGTTGGAATCAGGATTAGGGTAGGGGTTAGGGTTAGTGTAGGGGTGAGGGTTAGGGGTTAGGGGTCATGGTTAGGGTTTAGGGTTGGGTTAAGGGTTAGGGTTAAGTGTTACGGTAGGGGTTAAGGGTAGGGGCTAGGGTCAAGTTAGCCAGCTCGAACGAGCCAGAGGGCTCCGTCCACTCCCACCCGCCCTCCCGCAACATAAGAAGCAAGTGCGTCGCGTCCGACGCCTGTCGCTCATCTAATATCGTGGGCGGGTAGACGTTCAGCGCGCGACATGAGCTGCGTGCTATTCCTGCCGCGTATTGAGCAACGTCGACGAGAAACAAGACCGCGCGCGATGTACGCCGCGCCCCACTCTGGCCTGTCATGTTGCATCGTCGGCGACAACATGTCCAGCGCGCGAAGTGCGCCGCGTCTCATTCCAGCCACGCGTTTTGCACCGCCAATCGTTTCGCTCCTGCCGCGCGTGGAGGAGGGGGAGGAGGAGGAGGAGGAGGAGAAGGAGGAGGAGGAGGAGGAGGAGGAGGAGGAGGGGAGGGAGAGATGGAGGGAGGGAGAAATTGAGGAAGAGGAGATTGCCTCTTGGGAATTTGCGGGGCACCCCATTCCCGCTACGCGATTCGCAGCGCCAGCGAGGAGAAAGTACGTGCTGGCAAGAACAGGTCGACGTTGCGTTTTTTCTTGAGGGGTAGGGCGGGGAGTGCGCATAGGGTTGGCCAGGCGTCCGCGCGCGATGTGCGCCGCGTCCCATTCCTGTTACATTTTTTCGCAGCGTCGACGGCAAGAAAGTCCATGTTGACAAGAAACACGTTGACTGTGTATTGTTTTTGATGGGTCGGACGCGACCACCCGCTTCCGGTTACCCGAGCGATGTTCATTCCGTCTTCTTAAGACTGCCTCCCAACTCCCTGAGCAGGACGAACGGCAGCGATCGTGGTGTACCATGGTTAGCAGGGTCTTTCACGATGACGCTACGAAAAAGGGGCGGCCGTGCATCCTGGCGACGGGGCCGCCCTTGCCAGGGTAACGCGGTCGCGAGAAGTTGTCGCTCTCTTGAG